GATATCAAGGTTGGAGCAGACTGCTTCAATATGTTTAAGGTCTGAAGAGTATTAATTTTTCAAAAGCCTTTAACCACCTACAACTCCGTGCAAATACCTAAAAAAGATCGCGCTAAGGGAGTCCTTGTTGGAACCTCCTCTGAGACTCAAATTTGTAACTTGAATGAAATTAAATAATTATGATGATATTAGACTTGATTCGGATTCCCGGTTGTAATTGAGCGTCATCGGCTATTTTATGCCACCCGGTAGAAACTATTCACGATTCCATGAGTAGTCCACCAAATTAAGGATGTGTTGAGTATTGTGAGATTTAACATGATTTGGGAGACAAAGAGACGAAACAAAACATGTTTTTTTAGAGAGAACGTAGAGAGAGTGTGTATTCTGAAGGTTTGTTTTTGTCCCAAGTTGTTGTAAGTGACTTATGTATTAAGAGGAGGATGTGCTCCCTATTTATAGGGGAAAAAATTAAAGTTGAATTTCTTGACTTACGCCAACATTTCTCAACATTCTCTTGTATTTCCCAATACTCTTTGATATTCTCCGATATATTTAAGCATTCTTCGTCATACACCCACATTCTTTACCAAATGTGTATGAGAAAGTAAGAGAAATATTTTGCATGTAATATAGAATAAAAGAAAATAAATGAGTATAGGTATATAGGGAGGTTGTAGAGGAAGGGAATGTTCTAACTTCTACGTATATGCATGAGCATGCATATGTATAGAAGAAAGAAAGAAGGAGGAATTATTGTATGTTGTCTTTTTCTCTATAATTGTAGAGAAGGGAGGGGGAGAACACGTGGGAATGGAAGGAATAGGGAAGAGGAGTTAGGTTGTATATTAATTTCTTCATGCATGGTCATGAATGTGAGAGGTGGTCCATACCACGAATGAAAAAAAATTAAGGATTTTGGCAAAATAGAGGAATTTAATATTTTTAAAATTTTCTTGGTTAAGAATTGGGTTTATGTCAATTCGGAAGGATTTTGGTAAAATTATGGATTTTGTGATTGAAGGATAATGTTAGATTTTTCATTTTGAATTCGCTCTTCCGTGTATATATCGTAATTAATTTTACAATCAATAAATAATTTGGATTGTATTATTTTTATTTTATCTGTATCAAAGGTTACATAGCCTAGCGGTGAAACCCTTAGTAGGCGCTCATTCTAAGAAGTGGCAGATCCTGTGTTCGACTCTAACTGAGCCCTGCCAATGGCGTAACCAGACATCGAGTTCATTGGGATCCTTAAAATTTACTAACACTAATACTTGTGTACCAAATGAATTTTGAGTTAACTAGGGTCATTGGTTAACTAGGGGGTCGTTTGGATGGAACATTTGTAAAACGAGTCAATTTAGAACAAATGTTTCATTTCATAAAATGAGTCAATTTTATGAGAAATTTGTCCCAAATTGCCTTGTTTGGCTTGTAATATGAGATGAGGCAATTAGGATGAGGCAATTGCAGAAAATACACTTTTGCCCTCGGGTTTTACCCTTCTTCTTGATCTCCCTTTCTTACTCTTTGTAACCAGAAAAATCCATACCAGTAAAGATCAACCACTTCTAGATTTCTTTCCAAAAACCAGAAAAATCCATACTAGTAAAGATCAACGATTGTCGATTGACCAGAAGTGAACAAAAGAATGGGAGACGAAAAAGAGATTGAGATGGGCAGCACAGAGGGGCAGGCAGCAAGGGAGTCTTGAACGACGAAGGGAGAGAGCATCAATTAAATGAAATCGAGCGCCGAACTAGATGAATCAACCATCGTCACTTTGGGATCTGGCTCTTTGAGCGGATCTCTCCTCCCGACATATGTTCCTTTTCTTTCTTCTTGGACGAATCGAGAACCCAGCCATCCATGCATATCGCCTCTCTCTCGATCCGGCGAAACCCACAACGATGGCGACCGAGGTAGATGAAATCGACCATAAACGCTTCCCTTGCCAGTCGTCGTGCTGAAATTGTTGTTTCCCCCGATACGAACGGAGGATGCCGTCGGTGCGAGAAGATGAACAGAGAAAATGGAGGTTCAAGGTCGATTGAGACGTAGGAGGAGAGAGGGAAGAAATATAGCTCGTCGGCCGTCACCTGCTGCATTTGTTATCATCAAGGAACTTGGCGAAGAATGGGATTCTCGGGCTCGAAGTCTAGCTGTGGATCGTCCTTCGACCGGAGAGAAAGAGAGGAAAGAGAGGAGAGAAGATGTATCGACAGCGAGGTAAAGGAAAAAATAAAAAGGACACAATTGGAATAAAAGAAGGAAAAACGAGTCTTTTCTCTTTACCTGCCCCCCACCCAGGTATTTGAGATTCACCCCTAACGGATCAATTCCAATTGACCCGACCCAAATTGCTCCATTCTGCTTTTTTATTGCCAAACAAGACAATTTGCTTCAATTGTCTCATTTTGAGGCAATTGTGTTCAATTGATCCATTACATAGATCCATCCAAACGACCCCTAGGGGAATTTGATGACCCTCAAGTCTTATCTTTCAGAGGTTTTGGTCCAACATGATTTAAACACTACCTTAATACTGTTTCCTGTCACACTCAAATGACGATGCACTTGTTACTTTGTGGCCCTTAAGATAACAACGGTTTACTAACCCGATCATAATAAACTTCATTACTAATTTTATATACATTAGAGCTTCGTTGATTTCATCGCGCTAGAACAAAAAATAATTAAATCTCTCTTTTGCATGTGCTTATATTGGTCCATTATGTGTTTATTACTACGAATGACCAGTGGCGGATCCAGGGGTGGCCACCCCGGGTCCCGGCCTAGCCCTCCTCTGGATCCATAGTTAGTATAGGCCTTATGAATTTTTCGATTTAGGTATTCGGGCCAATGCTATTTTATAATAAAATTAGATATAATTAGCAAATTGATTTAGATAAACATATCACTACTCTAAATTTAGCCTAGAGAAATTCTAGCCCCAAAGATTTTTCGTCTAAGAAAATAATGAAACCTAAAATTCTAAAGCATAATAGGCTAAAAGACATATGAGGTTTGTTACCTTGAAAATTTACTAGACAATGGGTGGTATAGGGATGAACACATATAATGCAAATTGATATTGATTTGTCTAGTGTTGACGCTGCTTGTGTCAACAACTACTACAGAGAGAACCTTTTGAACAAAGAAACATCTAAAACTTATTTGCACAATAAATGAGCGATTAATTTTTTGCCAATTGCTCAAGTATTTTATTTGGAACAGTATTGGTATGGATGTGAACTACATTATTGATGCATTTGCTAAATTAAGATACGGTCGTGTACAATTTACATTGTAAAAAAACTATAATCATTAATTTTTTTATGATTCTAATTTTCTAATAAAATGCGGCCCAGTGCTCTTCTATGTTCTGAATCCGCCGCTGCGAATGACTACTTGAAACTCCCTAAAACGAGAGTAATCCATAATATTGAATTGATATCGTGACGTTATATCAGCAGATATTTAATCATGTTATTCTTATATTTGTAATAAGAGTTTCCCAAAAAGATGAACAAAGTATATCCTGAATCTCCATCGATACATAATTTCACTTGAATTGAATTGCACATGCCATGTTGAAATTCATGTCTGAGAAAAGTTTTATCGGTCTTATTTTAATTTGATAAAAGGAGTAGCTCTTTAATAAACTTTCAGTCTGTACATTGTAACAACGTACTAATATTACAAGCAAGCTACATATTGTTTGGAAAGTTGAGCATTAATTAATAACATATTACATGCATGTGATATATGTGATAACAGTAAAAAAAAAAAACTAGTTTAGGCTTGTTTAATTTTAATTTTGTTAATAAGCATTGATTAGGTGAATAACATTTTTCTAATGAATTTTTTTTGTTTTTATTTCTCCCAAGTCAACTCTTCGAACTTTAAAATCAACATCGCTTATTAACAACGAGGAATAAAAGCAAAATATCAAACCAAGGTTGTCAAACTCCTACCGATCGTTTGGATTCGGTCCGATCAAAATCAGGCCCCGAAACGATCTCCAGTAAACCAGCAGTCTGATTCCCAGAAAGAGAGAAGAAGAGAGCAGGAAGACAGATGGTAGCCTGTGGGTCATGAAAATGATGATACGCATATACAACAGAAATTTAAGAATGCACAAAATCGACCGAATATATAAATATAAAAACCATACATGCCTAATAACTTAAACATACCAAAACAGATCCACTAATTAGTAAATGGAATAAAAGTTATAAACCGCCCATTTTGCAACATGATTTCCATATACTATTTGTAACATTACGAACCTTTTTTCCGACCAAGATATTTTCCGCTTTGGGCCTCCACCCTCACGGTTTTTGGCTTGAGGTGCAATTCAAGGTGACTTACCATAAGGTCGCCCATCCTTATTGTACTCCACACTGAGCACGTTTAACTTCGGAGTTCTCATAAGAACTCCTACATTTCACCCAAAACGCATCTTCTCAGTTAATGCCGGTTTCATACTTATGAATTATAGATCTCTCCCATGCTTTGTCAATATAGAATTCGCCTAATGTGTTAGGCTATTTGCCACCCATTACCCTAAACCAACCGTAACCCTACTCCTCCAAACTTTCTATTCCGTCGACATTAATGTGGCCATTTAGGAGACCCGCCGTTCACTTCCCAGTTCAAAAGAGGGCTTCTAATCATTGGCTAAGTTGGGAGATTGGGAGGAAAAATGAAACACTAATAGTGACACTCCTGGAGATCACCACGGTCCATAATCAAAGAAAATGATAATGTGTCTCTTTATTATCGATTGCACCCAAATTCGAAATCACGGTATTACAATATATATAACATTCCATTTCACTCGTCACTCTTTTACATTTTTAGCGAATCAATAAAAATAAAAATAAAATCCGAGCCAAATTATTATACGCCGTACATATGACTCGGTTCAGATCAAATCGTTACTTACCGTATAATAATCCCATTTTAAGACGACGTGCTTAGTTACTTAATTAATATAGGTGTTTGTAATCACCCTGGATGGCATCGGCATGCTCTTGAATCACCTTCCAAGCTTCCATCACGTGCTCAGCCTCCGTGAGAGTAGAACCAACAGCAAACCTCAGCAAGTAAATCCCGCCCACCAAAGCATGTGTCATGAACACCCGACCCGACCCGTTGACCCGCTCCAGCAGCTTCTTGTTCATCAAATTATTAGCACCTTCATCGCCGTCGTCGTCGTCGTCGCTGCCTTCTGACGAGGGCGTGGTCCTCGTCATCCTGAAACAGACCATCGCGAATCGTCGAGGGACGACGACCTCGAACCTGTCGTCCCCCGCGACGAGCTTCTCGAACGCCTTCGCCATCGCCACGTGGCCCCTGAGGAAGCTCCTCAGGTTGGCCACCCCGTAGCTGCGGAGCACCATCCAGAGCTTCAGGGACCGGAACCTCCGGCTCAGGGTGAGCTGCCAGTCCTTGTAGTCTATCACTCCCCCCGAGTCGGAGGCCTGGTTCCTGAGGTACTCCGGGTTGGTGGAGAGGGATCTCTTGAGCGCGTCCGGGTTCTTCACCCACAGGCAGCAGCAGTCCAGCGTGGTGAAGAACCACTTGTGCGCGTTCAGGCTGAACGAGTCCGCCCCCTCCACCCCGTCGATGACGTGGCGGAACTCCGGGCATATGCAGGCGCTGCCACCATAGGCAGCGTCCACGTGGACCCACATACCATACTCTTTTGCCACGTGGCAAAGAGGTTTGAGTGGGTCCACAGCAGTGGTGGAGGTGGTCCCGATCGTCGCGCAGAGGAACAGCGGGACCCACCCCATCTCCACGTCGGCCAGGACGGCCGACTCCAGGGAGTCCGGGGACAGCGCGAACGCCGCGGCCCTCGTCGTCGCGACGGCCCGGACGTTCCCGGGCCGGATTCCGACGACCTTGGCGGCCTTTTGAAGAGCACAATGAGTCTGATCCGAGCAGTAAACCACCAGCTTCCCGATCTTGTCCTTCCCTATTTCCGCCAGCTTCTGGTCCCTGGCGGCGACGAGCATGACGATGAAGGCCTCACAGGTGGTCCCCATGATGACCCCTCCGCCGCCACCGGAGAAGAGATAGGGCTTGGGAAGGCTCAGCATCTCCCCGAACCAGTCCATCACGATGGTCTCGAGCTCGGTCGCCGCCGGAGACGCCTCCCAGTTGAACCCTACGACGCCGAACCCGGCGGCGAGGAGCTCGCCGAGGATCCCGGCGGTGCTGGAGCTGCAAGGGAAGTAGGCGAAGTAGGAAGGGTGCTGCCAGTGGGTGATCCCGGGGATGATGTGGGTTTGGATGTCTTTCATGATTTCTTCAATGGGTTCGGCTTCATATGGAGCGGACGGCGGGAGGAGCTGCCGGAGGTAACCGGGCTTGACCCGGCTCAGAACCGGGTACTGCTCGATGTTGCTGTGGTAGTCGGCGATGAAGTCGATCAGCATGTGGCCTTGACGGCGGAACTCGTCGGAGTTCATCGGGTTGGTGGTCGTCGTCGTCGTCAGGGGTGTCATTGCCTTGTCGGCGACGAACTCGAAGTCGTTGCTAATGCTGCCCATTGGCTGGCGGCGGCGGCTGGCATGGGAAATTATTGTCAGATTACAACACGTACTCGTTCGTCATAGATGCAATATAATATTATTACTTTTTCTCAAAAAAAGGAATTTTAACAGACATAAAAAAAACAATAATATCAACAACATAGAATTGTAAAACCATGCGAGAAAAGCTAGCCATATACGATGATTTTGGATTAAAATCGTGTACGTTTTCAGAAAAAAAAAATATAAGGTATAAAGAACGTAGTAATATAAAACAAATAAAATAGCAAATCTTACTATTTTCACTTCCAACAAACTACGTCGGTATCCAAAACAAAGCACAACCAAAAAATAGGCGCGCAGGGAGGAAAATGAAAGAGGCAAAGAAGTGAATTTAGGGTTTGATGATATAAGGCGAAGAGAATGCATTTCCTTTTTATAGGGCAGGAAGAAGAGAGCTTCAATTAAAATTCATTTTTAAAGCACATTATTATTAAGAGCACATTTTCCATTCAAAACCCAATTAAAATGAATTTTAGGGGTAGTTGGTAAACTTCATGAAAATTAGTGTGAGATGTCCATATTCATGTACACATGGATGCAATATAATAATATTATTACTTTTTTTTTTCTCAAAAGGAATTGTAACAGACATAATAATAACGGCCAGGAGCTGTAAAACCATACGAGAAAAGTTAGCGATAAGATTATTTTGTATTAAAATTATGATTTACGTTTTTAAAAAAAATATATATAAAGAAAGTGGTCATATGAATAATAAAATAGAACATATAAATTTCTGGAAAAGAATCTCACTATTTGCACTTCCAACAAACTCCGCCGTTGACCAGACAAATGCACAACCAAAAGCGCCGGAGGAAAATGAAGGAAGGAAAGAAGTGAATTCAGGGATGGTGATGAGTTAGGGCAAAGAGAATACGTTTCCTTTTTATAGGCAGGAGAAGAAAACCCCAATACAATGGGATAGTTGTTAAAATTCATTTTCTCTCCAAATTTGTTCGATGTATGTAATTGTCATTTGCCTGCTGAGTGCCAAATATTAGTTGTTTCTATAGTTTGGTTGAGATTGTTATCGTATCGGTATTGCTGATAATGCATCATTTTTTTCGAATTTTATGCACAAATATATAGTGCAAGTATTGTTTGCTTGATGTGACACAAACTATCACTCAAAATGAGTACGGATGATAATGGATCGTGTCGGGACCAGATAGTTCATATCCATACCCTAGTCAAAATAATTCGAGTTGTACCCATTCACATACTCATACAAGAATCAGGTAGAATATTAAAATCATACCAACATCTTATCCAGTTTTGGGTATTCATTTTTCATTGATAATAATTTCTCTTTGTAACTTCAACTAACATGTTAAAAATTACACATATACTTATATAAGCGAAATATTACATAAATAAATCACTAGAACGAAGAAAATTAATTAGAAATAAGAAAATTTCATGAAAATATTATATATGTGTGATTAATATCAATGTGTTGGAAAACTTAACGTCATTAAAAAAATATAAATATGCACGTTATAATTGGGCAGGATCGGATTGGATAGTGAAAAAAATCAAGTCCACCCATTACCTACAATGTTCAGATTCGGGTTTTACCCATTTCTCAATAAAATCTTTCGGATTCAGCCATTCAGTTTTAACCACTCGATTAGATCGGATTCGGACGGCTATCTACATGTAGGGTTATATTTTTTTCATCCCTAAAAATGAGTGATAATTAAATCTCATGTTTTAGGTAACATTGTTGAGATAGTTTGATTATTAGCGATACAATTATTTTGTATTAAACTCGTGATTTCTTCACCATTCAATGGTTCCGTTTAAAAAAAGGTATAAAGAAAGTAGTAATATAAATAATAAAATAGAACACATACGCAGGAGGGAAATGAAGCAAATAAGTGAATTTAGAGATGATGATGAGCTAAGGTAAAGAGAATACATTTCCATTTTATAGGCAGGAGAAGAAAAACCCATTCCAATGGTATAGTTGTTAAAATTCATTCTCGACAATTTTTTAACGGTGGATGACTGGATGTAAATGTAATTGTCCTTAGCCGGCTGAGCACCAAATATGACGTGGTTGTGTTTTTCTCATAGTTTACTATTTACAATGGTTTTTTTTTGTGAGATACTATTTACAATATTGACAATGGATAGTTTTTATTATTTTATGCACAAATAATATAAGTATTGTTTGTTTGATGTGACATAAACTATGATTCAGAGATAGTTAAATACTTAAATCTCATATTTTAGATGAGATTGTTGGGGTTTTTCCAACTATATCACTACCTTTTTATGTGTGTTACTTTTTTATATTAAAAATGTTAAAAGTGACATTTTGACACAAAAACTAATATAACTTATTGAATACTACAATAACTATCACAAAAATATGAAACAATGTAAACTATAATACATCAAATTATACATGCATTGATGACACTATCATTTAACCATACATCAATTTCCTACAAAGCATTCTTCAATAGTGGAGGATTTGTAATTAAGTTTCCTAATAAAGTGGTTTTTGAGTTTACTCGACCACATGTTTGTTCATTAGTTGTCCAATTAAATGGGATAGTTGTCCAAATTCCCTTTCATAGGCAGAGAAAGTACATTTTCTTATCGTAGGCAGGAGAAGAAAAACCCAATTAATTGGGATAGTTTGTTTTAAATAATTTTCCCACCAATTTTTCTCCATGGATTTAGTTGTCCTTTGCCTGCTGAGCACCACAAAATCTAAGACCCTTCAGTGCATTCGTCAGTTATGGTCGGATGATTTGTAAGTTCGTAATAAAGTGGTATTTGGGTTTTACTCGATCACATGCTTGTTCATTAATTGTTCGATTTGTTATTTATTTATTTATTTATTTATATAGAGTTATTTATTAAAGTGGGCTAATTATTACTGGTCAAAAATTAAGGAGTCAAAAATTACTCAATATCTTACATTGACCCAATGGGCGGGAAACCGTATATTACACCTAATTAGGATTTTATGGGAATCCTAACTAAATCTAGTATATAGATAGTATAGAGGTTGTGGACTTGTGGTCCCCAATACACCAAAATCAAAATTCACATAAATTCTCCCCGTCAGGACTACGTGAGAGGTGTTAGAAATTACTTTTAGCAGTTGTAATTCCCTGGAATCTCATCTTGTTAGATTATCAAAGGTGAATAGAAATACCTGGATTCGTATTGTTGATCTTCAAGGTCTTGACGCGGAATCTGGAAGACGGTCTTTGACCGGACGATACTTCCGAGAGCACGACCCAGGAGGTACCATAATCTTCCTCAACCAAGCCGCCATAGTTCCTTTACGGGAGAGCTCTCGTCTTCCTGATGAGGAGAAGACGAGAAAATATGTTTTGTTCTTGGTGTGTTGAGGACCACAACCTCAACTCCTTTATATACAAGTTTCACCATGGGCTCCCATAAAACCCAAGTGGACATGTATGTGATTTCCACCCATTGGATCCATATTGAGTTTGAGTAGTCATGGGTCACATAAAATTGATCACTTAATTTAGCCCATCTAAGCAAATAACAATAAAGTGTGTGTATATAAATTGATGGCCCACATAGGTTAGAAAATGAATTTCCTAACAAGAGGAACTTAACTACTTAAGAAGGCTTAGTTGAGGAAGGCTACAAACCCTCATGGCCTCCTGGCTCGTGCTCTAGGAGAGTATCGTTCAGATTCTGCATCAAGTTCCTGACGATCAACTGGTGATTTCAGATATTTCAACAAATTTTGATAATCTAACAAGATAGAATTTTTAGGGAATTACATATGTTAAGTTTAAAATTCCAACGAGTGGTATCGTCATAGCCGTTTTATCAAGTTCCTAACAGTTTTGCAGAATTGCATGCTACTGTTTACGTATGCAATGATCATCTTCTTGGCTCTCCAGTGCGTTTTCGTACGCAATAAATAATGATGGAGAATTATTCTCGGTCATGTTGAAAAAATAATGTTTATTTATCATGTACAATTATGTAACGGTTTCGGTAATACCGTCGGAAATGATAATCATTATTGGGTTATTAATTCTTAATTTGGTCATCAATTACCCGTTTCTAATATAATGATATCTTCCTATTGCTGCAACTTAACCCTTATTTCACATGCTGACTAATTTTTTTACTAATTAACATCGTGACCCAAACTATTACCAAAGTTTACTTATCTAGTCTAAGACGAGCGTTAACCGTTATGTTTGACGGTCAAAGTTGGTGACAAACGGTCTATTCGTCAACATAAACTTATTTAAAATAATCACGATTTCCAAAAATTACAAATTTTTGGATTTTGCCCGAAGCCAAATTTGTTTATCTATTCGGAACCGCCATCGCCTTCTTCTTCGTCTCTTCCCCGCACCTGAGCTGCAAAACCAACACCAGTTTATGAAACACCCCGACCTGAAGACCTTCCATAAGCGCCTGAGAAGTTGGAATCCAGTCTGTCTTATAAGGCATTTGTGGGCAATTCTGTCAAACTCTTCCTCACTGTGGGCAAACTGGGCAAGACAATATCAGCTGCAATTTAGAGGGGAGTGATTATCGTGGTAACCGTTTTAAGTAACCAATAGTGTTTGGATAATTTGGTTGGATTAATTTGGATAATTGACTTGGTTTGGTAAAAAATTTAAACTTGTTTGGTTTAGGTAGTTTGATTTGGTTCTAGACACTCCTAAGTCCTAACCAAATTAACAAATTAATCATTTAGTTATATATCTGATATATATTAAATACACATACATAATACTTTGCATAACTACTCAAAAGTCAAATGATCGTCCCTTTTAGGCTCATAAAAAATAAAGCTCTATATTGTTCCTATACTGTATATTTGTATTCGTAGAGTGTATACCACAACATATGGACGTCTAATTTAGATTAACACAACAATTCATTAACCC